GAGAGAGAGAGAGAGAGAGAGAGAGAGAGAGAGATCTTCAGAGTTTTTCTAATGCTCATATCTTATGATTGGTTTCTCTGCCAGGGAGTGTGTGTGTGATCAGAACACGCAACGATCTTCTCGAGATGACAGAGGTGGAAAAACTGGACCCATCGTCGGCGTGTGACAAAACCCTCATCGAGTTCGCCTTTGGCATTGTCATATTTGAGCTGGTTCTGTCCGGATTAGTCCTGATCGCTGTTTTGTTGATACTCGCTGAGATTATCTACCTTGTGTGCTGTAGCCCAAGTCCAGAAAAGCAGCCCACAAATCGATGATGTCATCAGTATGGATTATTTAAAAAGTCAGCAAAAGAAATAGCGAAACAAAACAAAATACATTTTAAATCTCAGCGTGTCTGCGAGTGACTCAGTCATAACTCAGACTGGAGCCTGGACCAATCATGGTGAGATGTTCCCATCCTCTTTGACAAAACGGCCCCTTCGCATATATATTAAATTTTGTACATACAGTACTTTATCTTACGATGATAATCTCATCATGTGGCTGATGTATAGCTGTGTGACACGTGGAGTGAATTCTGAGGCCTGATGCCTGGACCCCACAACCCTGATTTCTGAAAGTGATGTGAGTGTGAGTGATTTAAAAAAAAAATGTGAGGCATCGTGGTGAAATCAGGTGCTCGTTAAAATAATGAAATCGAAAAAAACAGCATCTTTTTGGCGGTTGAGCTTTAAAAAAAAAAATTCTATTTTTGGTTCAGCTCTTTTTATGTCTATTTAAAAACGCATTTCTGTGTAGATTTTACTGAAAAACATTGAGTAAAAGCAGAAAAAATGTAAATTTTCAGTTTCTAAGGACTTTCAAGCTGTGGAAGTTACCAAGCTTTAGCGGCCATTTTCTCATTAATTTTACCTCTTAAACCAAGCAACCGTCCCCTCCTTCAGTCACAAATATCTTGACTTCTATTCAACGTAGATGGACAAAATTATTTTTTTTCACCAAAAGCATGGCAAATGAACTGGCTTTAAGATGGTACCAATAACCCCATTTGCCCCAAAATTGATGAGTGCCTGATTTGACCACGTCGTTCCACAAACCATTATGATCCTGAAAGCATGTTTTCTACAGGATATAACTAGGACTTCTGTTTTTTGTTTTAGGAACAGTTTTACAGCTCTTGCAACACAATAAGATCATATCAGAGCTGAAGATTAGAAGTGTTACAAGAGAGTGCCAAACTCTAAAAAAAGAGGGGCGATAAAGAGGATAAATGTATGATAGGAAAGAAGAAGCAAATCACACCAGAGCACCCACCAGCGCAACTGTGCTGTCATTTTTCAAAGTACAGTATATTGTCAACAAGCTGTTCAGATGTCCTCGTCATCAAAGCCTTCCACCCCTGCCACTGGCAGGGTATAGGCCACATACTAAGCCCTAAATTTTGATTAAAGAAAAAAGCATTTTCTTAATCTGTAGTGTTGGTTGCATGTGTTCGAGAAATATTTTGTTGGAATTCAAATTTTAAATGTTGAAAAAAAAGCAGGAAAAGATGCGTAATTAATATAGATACAGTAATAAAAGAATGAAGCAAGTTTTTAATGTTTCCTGAGAAATGTTGCTTTAAGGACTTAGCACAGTTTAACAGCCAGCTGATGATTTGCTATTTTACAATTTTCCAGGAGAATAAAAAAAAACCTGAATCTTGTTACAAAGAAATAAACCTTTGTTTTAAAGATAATAGGGAAGTTATTATCAAAATTGTATTCTTAAAAATATTGACTTGGGATGTTTGTAAAGATTGCGTGGTCTAGGATGTTATAGTACTACAGTCGAACCTGCCCTGACGGCCGCCTCTTAAGAAGGCCACATGTACAAACGGCCACTTTCCATTTCCCTCTTTGCGTTTTTCTATATAATTTTAACTGTATAAGATGGGAACCTGTCCAACGCGGCCGTGGCCACCATAGTTTAACACCCAATCCCTATCACACCAAACAATAACACCTGTCTTAGACGACCACCTAAGTGACTCCATTACGTTTTGTCATAAATTGTGCATTGGCCCCTGGCGTTGTGGGCGAGCCGTCATAATCCAATCACCTGTCGTTGTTGATAGGTAGTCCCTCCAACCGATCATGTTGCGTGGGCCCCTCCCATTGTTGACCAAGAGGTAACAAATTTTCAGCTGCTGGTGAGGAAAGCGTGTGATCCCTCATAACCCATAAGCCCCGCCCAGAACTTATACTCAAATCGTAAATGAAATGAGCTGTCACTGTTTACCCAGTCTGTAACAAAGTAACAATGGACGTCAACATGAACTTGTGACAGAAGCGTCGCTTGTTTTCCGAGTGGTGGCGATGCATGGGTATGTTTTACCATAGCACTCGGTCCATCTTGTCTGACACATTTTGTTTTATTGTCACCCTTGCACAAAAGCAGCAACGAAAAAAAAAAGAAGAAAAAAACTTCAGCGAAAAAAACAACAACAACAACAACAACAATAACAACAATGAGGCTATCTTCGGTTGGAACCTCAGAAAGAAACGGTTTGTTTTCTTCATCTCGATCAGTCCTGCCTAAGACGACCACCTGTCTTATACGGCCACTTTTCTCCTTGACAATGGGTGGCCGTCTTACACAGGTTCGACTGTACATGAATAAGTTACTAGCGTTTGTGTTTTTGTAATAATCATTAAAAACAACACAGATCTACTATTTTCTTTAGAAAACGTTGAGATTAAATGAGTTCAGTTTATTCTTTTCCCGCTGAATACTGAAGCGACATTTCTCAGTTCTATTTTCTTCATCAAATGTGGGTTGTCAGGTAATCAGGTCACAGAACAGCATCATGATTTTTGACTGCACGTTTGTTTCTAGTATGATTGTATATTTTGTACATTATAGTTCTTTTGTATTTTCTCCTTTAAAAAGAAAAATGAAAAAAAAACCAACTTCTAAGAGAAGACAGTTATCTTTTTGAAGAGATTTGAGCTTGAGGTTTGTCCTGTATGTCTCTCTTCCCTCAAAATCTTGAGCTGTTTCATCTTTTTCTCCCACATCCATGCTAGTGCTACAATGGGCTTCTTCCCTTGTTCGATAGGATGGAGTGGCATTGTTTTTGCTTGTTCTTCATTTAGTTTTTAGTTAATTTAAAAAAAGTTTTAATAAAAGTTTTACGGCACTTGCAACAAAAACCCGTCTTATGATTGCCGGAGATCAAAAGTGTTACGAGAGGGTAACACATGAAAGAAGGAGCAAATCAGATCAGAGCACCCACCAACCATCCATACTGGTTGTTCATAATATCTTATGATGGCAGCAGCTGCAGACACTTAGATACCATCGGATAAGCATTGTTTGTAGACACCGATTGGGATAACCATTGTTTGTAGACATGGATAACCATCATTTGAGGTGTAATGGTGAGGGTATTTGCTGTTACACACTGAACCAGGGTATTTTGTCTGTTAATCAAGGGTTATTTTGTGTTTTTTAGCTTTTTAATCCAATATCACTCGTCAATGTATTTATGATGATATACAAGTTGTTTTTGTAAGTATCCGCATGTAACAATCACACATTTGTGTTTCATTGTATGGATCTGAAGGTTAAAATGCGCTGGTTGTTAAAGGGAACAATGAGTTATGTCCCTTACCCTTGTCCTCCTCACTCCCGGCCAGAAACCATGAAGGATTGTTTCTCTGGTCTCGAAATTTGCCTTTGTGGCTTTCCTGTTGTAAGGAATATTGTGTGTGTGTGTGTGTGTGTGTGTGTGTGTGTGTGTGTGTGTGTGTTTGTGTGTGTGTGTGCGTGTGTGATTTTTTCTGCATTGTAATGGATTATTTGTGGTATTCCCATTTTTTGTCAGATTCAGAATGTGAGTTGCAGTGTGTTGCATCCCAAACTTCTTGACATAAGCTTATTATAATCTATTCTTTTTTTTCCTGTCCTTGCCCCTGACCTGTGTCTTTCGCTATTTTGTCTGCCTGCAGAAAATGTTCTACTTGTAATTACTGGAAGGTAGTAAAGCACAAGTTTTGTTGATTTGTTCGTTAATTTGTCGCTTTGAAGCACAAGGGGGCTATCCTGAAAAATGCTGTTTTGAGAAAATCTGAGGTAAAGTTTTTGGACCCTTAATATCTATCTCTGTGTATTTGTTTTCAAATGTGGTTTTGCGCATGAGTCAGTTATGACTTTGTCTGCTATATATATGTATAAATTATTACTGACAATAATTTACTCTATGAAAAAGAAATTAGATTAAAAAGTTGGGTTGGTTCAGTTTTGCAGATAGGCAGAAAACATTTTTGAAGCAAATCTGGGGACGAAATGGGCCACCCCATCCAAAATAAGATATAGCCTACCTTTGTATCTAGACTATTCCTGCATTGAAGTTTGAAGTATATACAAATGCTCTATCCCCTGTGCACAGGGCTAACCCACCTTGTCAACTCTTTATCATTGGGTTAATGGTTCTAGCCTAGCCATGTGAGCATTACATTTGAAGCTTTTTCTACTAAACAGATTGGTACTATTATGTGGAACAGTAGGCCTTCTCAAGTGAAAACTGATAGGGTACAGAAAAAATTTGATGAAAAAACTTACCTAATATGTGAATATCGCAGTCTTTGGGGTCATTTTCAACTGCGACATTCAGTGAACTCTTTACTTGAGGTGTCGGCCATTTTTTGGGGGGTTAGCCCATTAAAAATTTTCCAAAAGTCTGCAGTTTCTTCAAAAGAGAAGGACAGTTTTCTCTAGAACCAAACAAATATACACACCAATGAAACCAAACTACTCCTATAGAGGTAGGGCAATGCCCACTTTTTGTGTAGGTCGAGATTTCTGGAAACCCTTGAAATCTGGGTTAGCATGCTTGTCCTTAAAAGCGACCAATTATGATTAATTATATTTAGACCTAGCACAACATGCACAATCTTTCATTCAAATTTGTATTGTTTTACATTTATTGTCAATAGAACATGGAATCACTAGAGTTTACGGTGCTATGGTTACGACTTTCACCATTGTACGCAAAAGATGGATATATTCAATTCTCACATTGAGAGAATATTTTATCGAGAATTACAGGAGGGATGGTGAATGCCACTTTGCCCAGGTTGGCCTTCAAAGGTAGGGTCAAAGAAGCTCACTACCTATATATTATCTAAATTGTGTTGATAGAGGCATAAAACTATTTTTTACATCATTGCAGTCAATCAATCAATGTAAGATCATTCGTTCAGATCTTTAATTCATGCACAGCATCTAGCTCTTTTCAATCACACAGTTGGAACAAGTTTGCATTTCTGTAGTAAATGTTTTAGTCCTCTGTTTATCAGTGTTTCCTCTTAGTTTTTCGTGTTTCTTGGTCTTATGTAGATTTTCAGACTAACAAACATCGTTTCTACTTTGTCCTGAATATTGTATATTTCACACGTCTGCTATAGCGGAGGGAGGTGT